AATTATGTTGATGATAATAACCTGTTCTACACCCAGGGGCCTGACCTCCTTCTGTATTTAGTTTAACTTTCATTTGGAGATAATTAATATTATTATTATTTATTATTTGAGACAGAGTGTCTCATTTTGTTTGCCCAGGCTGGAGTGAGTGCCGTGGGGCGTCAGCCTGCGCTCACAGCAACTCTACAAACTCTTCGGTCATCAAGCAATCCTCCTGCCTCCAGCCTCCCGAGTAGCAGGGCACTAACAGACATGGCGGCCACCATGCACCGGCTAATTTTTTCTATATCCATATTATTGGCCAATTAACAGGTAGACGCAGCCACACAAAAATCGGTCTCTGTGTTTTACCAACGGCTAGAACTAAGAGGCTCCAGAGAAGACCTCCATGAAGAGTCTCCCAACACACCCACTGAAGGTCTAAATTTCTCAGACCTTGCCGCAGGCATGGAACGCAGTTGGTTCCAAAGGCTGTGGAGACGCCCATGACAGGATTATCGCGATGCCCCGTACCAGGTGCACACCCCGCCAGCAGTGAGGTAACTCCATGACGGGAATATTGTAGGTCCATGCCCGGGGGCACACTTCATAATCAGAAGTGCCGGAGCTGGATGCCACCTACATAGCCTAAGACAGAGGCCTCACCGTCATTTCAATTGCCCGATCTTATATTTGGGGTGCTGGTCGCGGAAGCCCATCGCATAGCCTAAGACAGGCTCTCCACCAACCTGTGTAAATCTCCCTCATATTAATAAAGATAGGGGGAGATGTTGGAGACTAAGACCCTCCACATTCCAACGACTTGTCCTGACTTGTCCTGACTTGTCCTACCCACGGAAAATAGCCTAAGACGGAAAATAGCCTAAGACGAAAATAGCACCCAGCCCCCCAGCTATAGTTCCGAGAAGAATGCATTCCATGACATGCTTGCTCCAGGGCATGCTACCTGCAATTGTTCCCAACCCCCTGCCAGGTTGGGGTTGAGTGATCCATCACAAACAGCTTTTGGTGCCATTGGGATGCTAATTGGGGCTGATTAGCCCACACCCAAGCCTCATCATCCCCCCACTCTATTTTTCTGTTTCTACTTCCTTGTTTTCTGTATATAAAACCTACTAAAAATCCAAGTGAAGTAGACCTTGACAACCCTTTGCTTGGTCTCGTTCCTTTCTCTCGCCCATCTCTTTCAGGCACGGTCCCCCTCGCCCCCGCGAGTAACAGAAGGTCCCTCGGGCCGGGACAGGAGAGCCCCAGCCCAGTGAGAAAGCCAGCCCCATAGGTGCACAGTGACAACTGTGACAGGCTGCACGGGGACCCCGTGCACCAGGCTCAGGGCAGGCCCTAACGGAGGGCCCTGAGTGGCAGGGGGAGGTTGTCAGGCAGAGGCTGGAATGGGCAGAAGGAAAGAAAGACACTTAACTGCTGTCAGCTCAAGTGCCCTCCTCCAGAAAGCCCCTCTACCGTCAGGCAGAGAGAGCCCACCTGTCTGGGTTCCCACAGGAAAGCGTGCTGGCCATTCCTTGCTCGGTCCCCACACTGGAGTCCCTGAGCTCCTCAGAAGCAAGGTCAGCTGGTCCAGTGTGTCCTGACCCACAAAGTGGGCCCACCCAGTGCAAGTGTCTCACGTGGCTATGGCTAGGCAGGCACTGGGCAGCAGTAGCACCCCTAATCTGCGTGATGGAGGGGTGCTGCCCTCAGCAGGGACACAGGTGGATGTGAAGCCCCACCCAGCCTCCCACTCCAAAGGGCAGTAAGTCATGGGCCAGTCACTTGCTGCTCTGAGCCTCAGTCTCTCTCACTGTAAAATGGGGCTCCAACCCTAGCCACACAGAGGGGCTATGAAAAGTAGATATGCAGTGTGGCCCACCCAGGGCTCGGTGGACGGGGACCACAGCACATGCCTGGGTCCTTTGGCTTGGAGCTGCCCCTGCATGGACTTCCCAGTAGACCATCTCATGCTGCCCTGGGGCCTGGTTACCCCCAACAGCCAGCAGAGCTGGGGGAAGTGCAGTCCAGCAGGTGGTCCCAGGCTGCTGCATGCCCAGGTCAGCCCAGGCTGGAGGTGACGCAGAGGAGACGAGGCTTAAGCAAGACTATGGGGGCCTGAGGGGCCTGGGCGATTCCTCCACAGGTGACACCAGTACACAGCCAGGTGTGGGAAACCCCATCTTTTGTCCTTCCTGAATTGCTTCTCAGAGCAGAGTCCAGGGGTGGGTAAGGTTGCAAGGTGCTCGTGTGGCCCTGGCCTCGGGGAACGGCAGTAGGGACTAGACCTAGTTGCCAGGGCAGATCAGGGGATGCCACGGAACAGGGCTCCCTACCAAGCACAACTGTGCTGTTATTTATTTCAATCCTTCTTAAAGTTAGCACACTATTTAAAAATTTAAAAATATATTTACATTATATGTAAGAGAATTTACTTGCATCTTATTTAAATGCATTTATTTAAATGTATTTGCATTATTCTCTAGATAAATACATATCACTTGCCATAAATAGTGGATAACCACAAAAATAAATGCAACAAAAATAAAATATTCACTCTTGCTAGAGAAGGCTGTGGGCAGAGGCTGCTCCCTCCCTCACTTACTGCCTGCCTTCCTCCCCAGTCCCTGAAATCCCTGCTGGTTGAGAGAGCCTTTGCTGTGGCCAGCCGCTCACTGTCACAGGGACCTCCAGGACTGGGGTGCCTCCATTCTGTGTCTTCGTGACCCTGACAGAAGTTTCTGGAGCTAGCCAAGCAGGTTGGAGAATTTATCACATGGAAACAAGCGGAGCATCCCTTCTAGCAAGACCCCAGCACCACCCACTACCTGTACACTGCCCCCATCTTCAGCGAGGACGGTAAGGTGACCCCACAGCTTCCCTGCCCCCTGGGCCATGGGACTCTTGAGTGGCCTCCTAGTCACCATTCATGGCCTCCTGCTCTGAATAAGGATGCCCCATGCCCACCTGTGCTGGCTCTGGCAGGGACCAGAGGAGGCTGCTTCCCCCTGGCTGGCCCACTGCCACCCTAGGAGCATAGGATGGGCCTGAAGAGCTTTGAGCTGGCACCTCAAGAACGCCTGGGGCCAGGTTCCTCCTTGGACACATTTGGACACTGTTGGGCATTGCCAATCTGGGCCATCTGTCTGTAAGGTGGGGGGAGGGGGTTTGATGATACCACCCTCCAGGGCTCACACTGGGGATGGCCATGCCCTGGGCTGTGCTGGTGTGTAATATGCACTGGCATGAGGTGGGGCCTCTTTTCTCCAATGTGCTGTCATTTCTGTCTCTGCCAGTAAACAAGCATTCCCACATGATCATTTGTCATACAGATTTGTTTGTAAATGTGCTGAGTAGGCAGATGCCAGGATCCATCTCCCTCTTTTAGGAAGCAGAAGTGGTAGGGAAGCAAGTGGCCACTGGGCTTGAGCTGACCATCCCTGTGGGCAGAGTGGCCCATGGGCAGCTGCTCTCACCCAGGGAGGCCCCACTCAGCACATAGGAGGCCTGGCTCCTCACCACAGCAAGCATATTACACAGTGACCCACACCCAAAGGCTGCCAACAAAAAAAAAAAAGAAAAAGAAAAAGAAATTAAGGAGAGGGATTTTTTAATTATTATACTTTTGAATTGTTTCAACTTTGCCATTTTATTTTTTATATTTTGGAGCCAGGAACTTTTTGGAGGGGGTTTCACCCATATCTGTACCCCACAAGAAGCTCAGCCACTGATGAATAAACCCACCTGAGTTGCTCCCACCCCATTGAGCTGTGTGACCCCAGGCAGGCCTCACCCCCTCTAAGCCTCCCATGCCGCATCTGGAAAGTGGGTGATGAGAGAATCTCCTCCCAGGGCATCGTGAGAGTCACTCGTGTTGACAGAGGCGAAGCCTGCAATCCATGCTAGCATATTAGTTTGGTGTTATAACAGATGACACAAATCTGACAGCTCAAAACAACACAGATTTATCCTGGAATAGATCTGTAGGTTAGAGGTCAGAAATCAGTTTTGCTGGGCTAAAATCAAGGTGTCAGCAGGGCTGGTTTCTTCTGCAGGCTATGAGGGGAGAATCCACTTCCTGGCCTTTCTGAACTTCCAGTGGCCACCTGTATTCCTGGGCTAGTAGCCTCTTTCTCCATCTTCAGAGTGGATCACTCCGATCTCTGCTTCCATCATCACATAACCTTCCCTCTGCTATAGTCAAATCTCCCTCTGTATTCCTTTTATAAGGATACTTGTGATTGCATTTAGGGACCACCCAGATAATCCAGGATAATCTCCCCAGCTCCAGATCCTTAAATTAGTCACATTTGCTGAGTCCCTTTTGCCACAGAAGGTAACTTTCAAAGGTCCTGGGGATGAGGACCTGGGTCTCTCTGGGGGCCATTGTTCAACCTACTATAGTAGGTATTATGATGACTGTTGTCATTAGCCAATGAGCTCTTCATGGAAATTGGGCAATAATATGTGTCAAAGACACATGAGGAGAGGGACGTGGGAGTCTCATGGCAGGGAGATGAGGGAAGGGGGACATTTCATTCCCTCCTTCAGTTAATAGTGTTTCTTGAGAGCCTGATATGTGCCAGGCAGCAACTCAGTAGCGAGATGCGACAAAACCGAGGCCCTTCTAGGGGTACATTAGAGAGGAACAGCTCCCATTTTGACCTTATCTTCCTCCTCTCCCTCCTCCCACCTAGAAAAGTGGAGGGAAGCTAGATAAGAGACCTGAGATATATTGAGCTCCAACAGGGTTGGTCACAGCTCCTGACAGAAGCTTGGTCCTGACCTCAGCTCCAGGCCTTCCCTGACGGGGCCTCCCTGGCAATCAGTCAGCCTTGAGTCTCCTTGAAGCAAATGAAAAGATAGAAAGTCTCACCAAAGAAACAGAAGACATAAGGAAGAGCTAATGGAAGTGTTAGAACTAAAAAGTATAATAATTGAAATAGAAAACTGAGTGACTGGGCTCAACAGCAAAATGATAGGACAGAGGAAAGAGTCAGTGAATTGGAAGCTAGAATGATAAACATTATGCAATCTAAACAACAGAGAGAAAATGGACTGGAACAGAGCCTCATCTGTGTGATTATAACAAAAGATCTCACACTCATGTCATCAGAGTTTGAGGAGGAGAGGAGAAAGAGGGCAGAGTTGAAAAAGTACTCGAAGAAATAATGGCTGGAAAGTTCCCACAATTGGAAAAAACATAAACCTAAAAATTTAAGAAGCTGAGTGATCCTAAACAGGAAAACCCAAAGAAACCCATACCAAGACATATTATAGTCAAACTTCTGAAAACTAAAGAAAAAGAAACAAATCTTGAAAGCATTAATAGAGAAATGACACTTTACCTATGG